GGTTTTCTTTTTAATTAAATGGAGTTATTTCAGGATACAGTGTTATGGATTGACTTGTGTCCCTCCATATTCATATATTGAAGTTCTAATCCCCAGAGCCTCAGAATGTGACCTTATTGTGAAATAGGGTTGTTGCAGATGTGATTAATTAGGATGAAGTCATAGTGCAGTAGGACAGGCCACTAATCCACTACGATCTCATAAAGAGAATGCCAAGTGAAGGGACAGACCTGCACACAGCGACATGCCATGTGAAGACTGGCGTTATGGCTGCCACAAGCCAAGGGTGCCAGATCACTGGCAAACCACCAGCAGCTAAGAGAGAAGTATGGGGTATTCTCCTTTACAGCTCACAAGGAACCAACTCTGATGACACCTGGACGTTGGACTCCTAGTAAATTGCTATTGCTTAAGCCACTGAAGTTTGTAGTATTTTGTCTACAGTCTTGTGAAAGGAATGCATGGTGCAAAGGTGAGCTTTAATGAAGAACTGGGGTTTGATCTCATCTTTGCTCCACTGTTAGCGTAGCTTTATGAATTTTGAAGTTATTTTAACATTCTCATGTTTGATTACAATTCAACTTAGAATTATGTCTACTTTAGAATTATTTTGATGACTACACAAGTTACCAAATATTGGAGTGCCTGGCATACAGTAAGCCCTCCAAGTGGTGATTTCTTTCCCTTCTTGGTTTTGTGAAGTCTCATTATGCACTCATTTATTGACTTTTGGGGAATCCTAAATATATCAAAGAAAAATTACCTCAATTAACAATAACCTGTTTCATCTAGACTGTGGATACTGTGTTGTAAAATAAAACCATATATTTAGCATGTGAATTAGTTGAAGATGATACTGTGGTTCACAGCTGTTGCATCCACGCCCAGCAGAATGCCATGTGCACATTAGGTGCTAAATAAAATTGTTACTTGAATGTTTGCTGTAAAGGGGAAATTCAGGGAATCAGTTATGAAGTTAGACTTAGCTAGTTTGCAGTTTGACTCAGCACATAGTTAGCTATCTAGCTACCTGTAAGTAGACCTAGGTTGTTTGCAGTTTGATCCATTCTGATATTCGTCTGTTTTCTCTCTGCTTCTACCCTCACCGATTAACCAAAGAACTCTGTTCCCTTTCTTAAGGCTACCCATACCTCGTTAACAACATCCTAACCTGAAAAGAGCAATTTCTTAATCCCCAGGTGCCCGGGCACTGGAATCCAACTTACAACTCCCTTGCAGTTTTTACTGGTGACACATTGAACTCCTAGGCCCCGGTAGCCAAGTCCGAGTCCGGAGATAACATTTGTCTGCAAACAGACCAGACCTCAGGAAGCGATGTCAGCCTTCAAGCCTGCCTAACCAACCCGCCTTTCCTATACAGGAAAATCCTAACCGGAAGTTAGGTGCAGCTGTCTCTATTAGACTCTGCTGCAGCGACAACCCCCCTCGCCGCACCCCTATCCCGCACCCTTCTCTCCTTAACTACCTCAGGCAGCCATCATCTTTGGACACTGCCATGGGCATTTTCTCTCTGCCCTAACTTTAATAAACACTTCCTTTGGTCTCTCACTTTGTAGTCTGTGAATGCTTTAACCTTTTGCAAACGAACAGGGGTTAATTCCACGCTAGGACATTTGCCACAACCTCCCAAGGTGTGAAAGCCTCAGTCTTATAGAATTGTTTCCAATGATAAGCTTTTATTATACTTAATGCAGATATAATTCAGGTTTTATTCTACATGCTTTTTGGATATTTGGGTCCCCATATACGTTATGTCTCGTGCAACAGTATTGGTGCTCCTTGCATTATAATGCTAAGCTTTACTTTTTTTAAAGGAAGGCGCACGAAAGGTGACCCATATGGGAGATAAATGCTTTCATGCTTCTGATCACTGAGGGTGAGTTTCACAAGCCCCGCTGCAGTTGGACTCGTCTAACTTGCAGATTTCCATCCCAGATCAAAGGCAAGAAAGCCGTTCAGGCCCCCCTTTCGCAGCGAGCAGCTGACTTCGTCTTTCTTGTTAGCCAATGGTGAACAGCTACTTCAGAAAGGACACTGGCTGAGTCACCTTCTGCAGATAAGCTGAAATATTAATAGCTCTATCTCGGCCGGGCTCCGAGCTGCAGCTCTCAACCACCGCCCGCGGCCAGAACAGAAGGGCGGCGCCGGGCACGAGTCCAGAGGCCTGCGGGACGATGCACGTGAGGGTGCGGGCCTGGGAGCCCGCACGACCCCGCCGCGGTGAGTACCGGAGGGGCCACACTCCAGGGCCTCCAGGGCCGCGTGGGGCGTCCTCACACGAGAGCCGACGTGTCGCCGAGAACGAGGGCCCAGTGGTCACGGGGGAAGAGGCGCACCAGCACGACTTCGCCCGCGCCGCGACCCGTTTCAAATTCCACTGCAAGCCCAGGCCTCCGCGGCGCAGGCGGACACATGAGACTTCCGCATCTGTCGGAAGCTGACAGGGAACTTCCGGCGCCGGGCAGAACTTTTAGGCCTGGTGGAGGCCGAGGCGAGACTTCCGATAAAGGGCGGAACCTGGCTGGGACCTCCGGCGGTGCGGGCGCGGGTGGGTGGGGTTTCCGGCGGCCCGGAAATGTGGGCTAGGCGGGACTTCCGGCGTTGCGGGCGCGGCTTGGTGGGACTTCCGGTGGCACGGGAGTTGGCAGGGCGGGCCTTCAGGCCGCCAGGCGGGACGTCCGGTAGCCTGGGCCGAGACAGTGGCCGGGACTTCCGGTGACGCCGGAAGTGCGGGTGGTCAGGCTGCCGGGTTGTGGGGCAGCGTCAGGGCTGAGTATCTGTGTCTTGCGCCTCAGCCTGCGTTCTGGGCGTCGCGTGACTGGGAAGCGACGGGAGGCAGCGCACGACCCGGCTGGCACTGGGCGGCGGGCTCGGCGGCGGAGTGACCGGTGAGTGCCGGGCCGCCATTTTCTTTCCGGGACCGGCTGCCCCGGTGTCGGCGGCAGCGGCCTCGCTCTGGGATGGGAGCATGCTTGTGGGGTCCCGGCCGCCCCGCGCCTTCCCGAGCCCAAGGCCTCTAGTCGAGTTCAACCTCACGCCGCCCCAGCTCCCGGCGCGCATCCCGACTCCTTTCCCCCAGCCCCGCGGCGGAGGAGGGCCGGGTTGGGTGTAGTGAGCTCCTAGCCATGCTCGGCGTCGCGGGCGTCTGTTAGGGTAGCCTTTCCGGGGGTTCTGCGCCCCCACTGGGGTCAGCTGCGCGGCCTGAGCAGCTGACAAGAGGCCTGGAGAGCCGGCCTTCCACAGCACCCCTCGGCCGGCCCGGGGGATGCTGGTTTGGAGTTTCCGTATTTAGGTTTGAACCGGCGCCCTTTAAGCCCACTGTGTTAGTTCGCACGTTTGAGCTTAGAAGGGTCCCCAGAATTACGTACCTGCGAATAAACTACGCCTCCAGGTGGTCGTGTAACCCAGGTCCTTCGTCCTCGCCTCTTCACGGGCAGCCCCGCACGCGCGCCTCGGTGTCCCGGGCACCTCCGGCCAAATTCTGGTCTGCCATCCCTTGTGCAGCATCTGACCGAGGTGACCGTTACTCCTCGTTTCTGTTAGTACTGCCCCAGGGGACAGGCGGGGAGTGAACAAGGGCCACATCCAGTGACAGCGGTGCGACCTTGGGCAAGGAACTTCCGGTCTCCATTCGGAGCCGCGTTTGTTTCTGAGAACGTGCTATTGTAATACGTGCCCCGCATTCTGGTCAAGTCCTCGGCACCGGCCACTTTTGCAACGTGTGCCTGCTTCCTTCCTCCATCACCCTCTTTCAGACATTTTCCCCGGGTGACATTGTCCGATTGTCCGACTGTTCGCTTGCTTTGCGTCTGCCTTGAGCTACCAGCCTTAAGTCCTCTCCCCACCAGGTGATACTAAGAGCTCTCTTAGTTGTCGTCTTGGCTTCTCTAAGGGCACGATTTTACATTTATTAAATTTCATCCTAGATTTTGAGCTCATTCTCTGAATTATTAAAATCTTTTAAAAATCTTGGTTATTTTCCTTTTAGTGATGTCCCCAGTACAGTGTCATTCACAGGATGGATGAGCATGTGTTCTGTGCCTTCAGCTATTCAGTAGATAATGACAAAACATTTTCAGCAGGTTAAGACTGATGACAGATTTCTGAGGTTGCCTCTCTTGATACTGCCCGGCTGTTGAGTGAGTTTGGTGTATCAGCCAGGAATTCACTAACTGCTTTCACAGTAAACTGTTGTTAAAAATTCACTGAGGTTCTGTGGAAATTCAGTCAAGTATATTTTTTAGTGCCACATGCAGATTGCATTCTTTAATCATTCTTGTGCGTATGATTCACATTCATGAAATGAACTCCTTAAGCAAGCTTTTGTCTTGCTAAAAGAAAAGTGTTTAAAAATCCCACTGGTATGAAATTCTGGGTGATGTTTTGTCTGTAGAGGGTGATGTGGCAGCATGAGCCAAAGGCAGGAGGCATTTATATTAAATCCATTCATCTGAATGATAGCAAAAGGAGGTTGGATCTTTGGAGGAGACTATACTTTATTGAAAATAAATGGTTTTAAAACCCAGTAGGACTTTTTATTCACATAAGCCTGTTTAATGTGGTGATCTGTCCAATAGCATTGGGTTAGTATGATTATTTTGAAGGACAATAATTATCTTTTAGAATTTCAGACTTTTGTTGTGTGTATTTAGGTGGATAGTGCATAGCGGTAAAAGTAGCTGATTTTCAGAGTGAAGAATTGCCTTTCTTTTCATAGTCCTATGACCAGTTTACTAAATTTTACCTGTTGAATATTTGGAAACCACCTGACAGGGATGCTGGGGGCATCAGTGACTGTTTTTCTGCTGCATTTGAGCCTCCCAGCAACCCTTTGTAGGAACTTACCCCACCTGTGGCCTGGGCCCTTCCCCCACCTCAGTATGTCCTTTAGCTCTTTCTGTCTGAACTCCTGCCCTAGCCTAGATTCCATGCTACATCATTTAATAGGTCTTTTACAAACACCTGCAGCTTCCTTGCACCTCTTTTCGTGATGTCAACCTGAAAAAACCCTAAACTCATTATCAAACGTTTAATTAAGCTCCATACTAACTGACCCATGGTGTGAGGGGGTCCAGTAGATGCTTTAGGTTTGGGGCCAAGGGCTGGTGGGAGAGGAAGTGATGCTGGTTCCAGTGACGCCTGCTGGGAAGAAGGTGGAGGTTGTGAAAGGAGAGACGAGTGAGATTTAAAACAGGTTTCAGGAAGAAAATTGTGACAGAGAGATTAGCAACAGAAAAAAGGACATTTAAAAGAGGTTAGAACTAGAGGAGCCTACAGATGTAATTTTGTAAGAATGGTTAGGGCAGAACTTGAATTGGCCAGGTAATCTTTGTGTTAACAATGCAGTGTATGGCAGAGGCGTTGTGAAGCCATCTTTCAGATAGGACTTCATAGAGTTTAGAAAGTTACAAAACAGTAAAATCACTCAGTATGAAAAACCTCCATTTGATGCCATATTTGGGGGAACCAAAACCTCTTCCAGATTTATAATTTGTAATAGTTTAGAATGTATAGTTGGTTAGAAATCGATCAATGGGGAAAGATGACCAGTGTATAGACTATTTTTGCGAAGTGATGAAGGCAAGCAAAAACCAGAACACACTTGGGGTATGGGGAGAGTGAGGGCTTGAAAGCTTCGGTGAAAGCCAGAAGGTGGGGTTTATAAAATTCATTGTGAAGAAGGCTGCTCATTTCCTAGTGAAGGTGCAGTGGCTAGAAAGGCCAGAGGTGTGATGTTAAGGGAGAACATCAACTGAGGTGAAAGGAAGGCTAGCAGCAGTGCGTGCTTGTGACCAACTTCTTGTAGGTGCTTGGAGGAGCGCATTAGCGATCAAGTTCACAGTTAGCAGAACGCTTCTGCTGCTGATGTTCTCAAGACAGGAAAGAGAAGCCTGGTACTGTGTTAATTGGCTTGACCTATGTATCTAAATGATAGAGTCTGCTTTTTTCTCTGAGGCCCATCAGGACAGCTTTCACAGGGTTGCAATGTTTACATTCCTTTCCGAAATGTACCTTATAAACTGCAACGTAAATATGGTAAATCGCTCTTTATGATGTTGGCAACTGAGATGCTTTATGAAGTTATTAATACGCGTAATCACTAAAAAGGAGTATAGCCACCTTCCTCTACTTGCATGAAGAATATAATTTCTGGAGAAGATTCCATTAAGTCAGTTTGATTTCTTGGCTAAGTTTTATATATATAGCACAGTTAGTTTTTAAATGTTTTCATTAAAAAATTTACTGAAATACTCTTTAGTGGGGTCACATGAATTGTTTTAACAATATAGATTTGTTATCAGATTTGTCAAATTTAATATCAGTAGAATCTTTGTTTTCTGTATAAAATTCTACCAATTACACAGTCTGGCCTTGTGAGTTTTTCTTTGTGCCTTTATTTCAGACATCTTTAATTTCTATAGCTCAAGATTTTGAGATCTGAATGTTATCAAAAGATTTGTTCTGTCATTTTGCATTCAAAAATAATGTTTCCATAAGTCATTTAAGGGACTGTCAGTTTTATTTTGTTTCCTGTTTCACCAGCAGTTTCCATTATAAGCTTCTTTGTTCCTTCTTGCAAGGAGGAATAATGCATTGGACCTGGAGTCATGATGTGGTCAGAATGCCCATCGTTACCTGTAGATGTAGATGTCTGCCAGATTTATAAATACAGCCCAGTTCTGTTTTCATTTCCAGACCTGCACATCTCGTGCCTCCTTGTATTTTAGATACTTGGGGGCACTGTGAACATAGTACATTCAGTGTTTAGTTCTTGATGTCTTCTCTGAATCTTGTGCTTCCTGTCAGTGACCTGACCTCTGTTTCACCTACCATTTCCTCAGGAGTGAGGGTTCTCCTGGGCACTGCTCTCTTCCCTGCCTGTTTCCCTACCCTCAAATCCGTCCACCTGGCCCTCCAGCCTTAACTGTCTTCATTTATTGCCTAGATTCTTCAGTAATGTCCCCATTCCTAGTCACTGACTTCCCATGTATTTTTCACACAGCAGCCAGACTGATTGTTAATGCATATCTATTGTCACTTGTTTGCTTACAGCCTTTAAGCAGCTTCCTTTTTATTTTACGATAAAACCTAAATATAAAAGAACAGAATCTAAGCCTGTCTCCCACCTGTCGTGCACCATTCTCTTCATTTTCAACATGTAACCACATTGCCTGTTTCTAATATCTCTGAGAACAGCGTCATTGCCAGCTCAGGGCTTTGCCACATGCTGTTCCTGTTCTTAGACTAGGAACTCCCCTCTGTTTTCCACATGGTTAACACTTACTAAGTCTTCAGTCTCAATTTAAATGCCAGCTTCTTAGAATGAATGACCTTCCTAATTCTAGCTAATGTCTGGTCTCATAACATTGTGTGTCTCTTTCACAGTACCCATCATAATTTATAGTTTCTAAAAATTATGAGATTCTGTGTTTAATGTCTGTCTGAAAACCCAGCTCTAAATAACTTGAAGGTAGGGGCCAAATCTGTTTTGTCCACTACTGTATTCCCAGTACCTAACCTATCCACGAACCTGACAAATCTCTGATGAATGCCTTGAGTGCTTTAAAGATGTCAAAACTAAGCCTTTGATAGGTGTCCAAGTGACTTGACCAAAGTTACACAGCTAGTCACTGGTGATGCATTCATTTATTCATTTACATATCCATCGACCATTTGAGGATGTATTCACATCAGGCAACATGTAGGCCCTACGAATACAGTAGTGAACCCTTGTGGTGATGGCGTAGTGGGGGAAGATTCAAGGAGTGAGAAAACCACAAATAAGATCTAAGTACAGATGTGGTAAGGATTGTGAAGTGTTGTGACTAGTAGCAGTCAAGGGAAACCAGCCTTTTCAAAGAGGTAACATTGAAGCTGAGGCTTTATG